TGTTTAGGGGGTCAAGACTTTTTGTTACCAGCCAGTTAAGTAGAAATGTATACTTCTCGCATATGCTATATCTCGAGATCCTTATTAGATAGAAAGTTACTGTCTACGACAGAGTTGTTCAAGGTCAAGGTCTTCTGGCTGGTGGACAGTAGTTCAGATTTTTTTCACTTCACGGTGCTAGTATACATGTGAAATTCTACCATATAAAATATCTTAAGTTTTTGACCAGAAAGAAAATTATTGTTCAAAATTTTCTAGCGCTAGTGAAATGTGAAATCCTCGCCTGTGATATATCTCTAGATCCTAACCAGATAGAAAGTTGCTGTCTGGAACAAAGTTGTTCAAGATGTTAAAGCCTATGATTTGGTGCACAAAGTTTCAGAATTTTCTCACTACGTGGCGCAAGTGTACACGTGAAATTTTCACGTATAAAATATCTTGAGATCTTGAACAAATAGAAAATTACTGTCTTCGGCAAAGTGGTTCAGAAGGTTAAGATCTTTTGGCTGATGAACAGTAGTTCAGAATTTTCTCACTGCGCTGCGCCAATATACACGTGCAATCCTCATATATGCTAGAGCTCGAGAACCCGAACAGCTAGAAAATTATTGTCTTTGGCAAAGTTGTTTAGGAGATCAAACCGTTTTTGCTGGTGAACAGTAAATAGTTCATAATATTTTACGTATGCGGCGCTAGTGTGCATGTAAAATATTTGTATATGATTTAGCTTAAGGTCAGGAAGTAACTGTCATTGTAAAAGTTGTACATGCGGCAAAGTTCTTCCGGATGGTGAACACGCAAATGCATTTTGTTCAAAGCTCTCTCATTTTAAAGGGCGAACACGAAATTATTGCGACACCGAAAATGTCATGCCAATTTCCTTTTTTTGTTTAGAATCAAACCAAAATTTTAGGGTAGTTTTATACATATATTTACTTCAAAAATCAAAAGAAAAGTTAATCGATGGAGCCTTGAGTGTAAAATTGAACGCATTTTCACTTGATGCCCTCCATCAAAGTCTTTACAGTGTCATCCGGTACCAGTTTCTCAGTTTTTTTTTTCCATTTTCTTAACATGTCCTTCTCGTCTTTGACTGTCTTCTTGCTCTTCCGAAGTTCCCGCTTCATTATTGCCCAGTACTGCTCCACCGGGCGCAGCTCCGGACAGTTTGGCGGATTCATGTCCTTTGGAACAAAATGGACAGAATTGGCCTCATACCACTCCAGGACACTTTTAGAATAGTGGCATGATGCCAAATCTGGCCAAAATAGCGAAGCTTCGTCGTGCTGCTGCAAGAACGGCAAAAGGCGCTTCTCGAGGCACTCAGATTTGTAGATCTCGCCATTTACTGTGCCCTTTGTCACGAAAGGCTCACTCCTCAGTCCGCAAGAGCAGATGGCCTGCCAAATGAGATATTTGGAGGCGAACTTCGACATTTTCTTCTTCTTAAATTTGTCGTCCACATCGAACTTGCTCTTGCCGGTGAAAAACTCCAACCCCGGAATTTGCTTAAAATCGGCTTTTATATACGTTTCGTCGTCCATCACACAGCAGCCATATTTTGTCAGCAACTGCCGGTGCGACAGGTCAGGAAATTCCAGGTGTTTGGAAAGAATTTGTTCTCTCAACTCGCGTTGGTTCACCTTCATTTTCGTTGAATCGAAAAACACGACTTCGAGTTTGACAGCATGTACACAATACACATCAATGAGAAAGTGTGCAAAATTTGGTTGATTTTTACCCAATGGTAAAAAAGTTATGCCCTGTTGAATGTGTCGCAATAATTTCGTGTTCGCCCTTTACGTCCAATTTTTGATTTTCAATTTGGTATACAAAACTTGAAAACGATATTGAGCAATTTGCCTCTTCGTATTTCCATTCAAAATCTTTCAAATGTTCTAAAAAGAACGAACATTGGACGTTTTTAGGGGGTGTACTTATGATCGGTATTCTCGATTCGGGAGTGTACGGTTTTATAAATGTCTCCATTCAATTCAGCAAAAGTGCCTCACTCTCTGAGTTAGTCTCGTTGTTCGTGCACACTTAAATACAGGGATTTTCTTTTGTTCTAGACCCCTCGATAAGACATTTTGAAAATTGCCTCGAATGAAAGGGAGACTCTAAACATTCATTTGGTGGAAGTTTCAGCGTTATTGATCTTTTAAGATAATGTTTTTCATCTGAGATACGTTTTATCACTAATTTATCAGAGGTATACAAGTGGAAGACTCACCCCAATTTATGTATCCACAAATCTGCATGAAAATCTTCACCAGTAAAAGAAATCAAGATTTTATTTGTCTTATTCCACTTAGGCTCATGTAAATTGTATTTTTATTTTATGATATTTAATATGCGAGAATTGCCCTCCAAGTTTTGAGAAACTTCTAAACTACTGTTCATCAGCCGAAAGATTTTTATCTCCTTAACAGCTTTGACAAATACAGTAAATTTCTAGCTGTTCAGGATCTCAAGACAGTAACATTCTATTTGGTCAGGATCTCGTGAAAATTTCACATGTATACTAGCACCTCTTAGGATCTCGAAACAAACCACATGCGGGAATTTCACGTGTATTCTAGCGCCACGTAGTGTGAAAATTCTGAACTATTTATTTATTTATTTATTTCGTCAAGCCAGTGTAGACTACATACAATAATTATTACAATGTTTACTTACATAGTATGGATTCCATACTAGGTGGAAGTATTCCAGAATTGGCCTTACATATGTGGTATATAATAGCTTAATAGTGTATGGGTCTTCGAAATTATGACTGAACCTTTTAATGAAGCCTAGCATTCTGTTTGCTTTACTAATGATAGTATTATAATGTTTTATAAAAGTTAGTTTGGAGTCTAGGATTACACCTAGATCTCTTACAATTTTGCATGTTTCTACTGTTTGGTTGCCTAATGATATTTCAGTATGCGGTGTTGTGGCCTAAATGAGAACCCTGGGGTACCCCAGAGGTGACTGAAATTGGTTCTGAAAGTTTAGTTTAGTTTAGGTTGTGTACCAAGCAATAGGCATTGATCTCATGAACAACTTTTTCGAAGACAGTAATTTTCTACCTGTTCAGCATCTCAAGCTATATTGTATTGAGAATTGTACACGTTTATTAGCGCCACGTGGTGAGAAACTTCTGGGCTACTGTCCACAAGCCAAAAAGTCTTGACCCCCTGAACAAGTTTGCCGGAAACAGTAACTTTCTATCTGGTCATGATCTCTAGATATATCACATGCGATAATTTCACATGTCTTCTAGCGCTGCGTAGTGAGAAAATTCTGAACTACTCTCCACCAGTGAAAAGTTTATGATCTTTAGAAAAACTTTTCCCAAGACAGTAACTTTCTATCTGGTCAGGATCTCGAGATTTTCCATGTTGTAACCCATTAAGTAAAATCCCACGTAGTACGGATACCGTTTACGCGGTTTCCATTCACATTTTCTCTATTATCCGCATTTTTTGGGGGTTAACTGTGATAAAAGTTTAGCTTGTTTAGTTAAAAACAAGTGTTTTGATTAATACCCGTTGGTTTCATATTGTTTGCAAAATGGAAATGGAAAACTCACACTGTTGTACAAAGTACAACGCGTGAGTACTCATGTTACAAAAGTTGGCGCGAGTAACGGAGGGTTAACAGTAGATTCTCTCTTTAGAGATATTCCGGCAATGGTGTAATCAAATGAAATGACAGAACGTTTACGTCCGAAGGAAATTACTGAGCATTTGTTGGCATTCAAGCTCATACGATTAGTTGCGCACCATTTGGAAAAAAAAGGTTAAGTTCTTTCTGATGGAAATGTGCATCTTCTTAACAGGTTATTACATAATAGAGTTTGAAGTCATCGGCATACGAGAGCTTAAAACATTTGAGCACTAGGTTGACGTCATTCAGGTACAGCAAGGATAAGAATGGTCCAATATGACTGCCCTGTGGAACACCAGATGTGACATGGAATGGTTCTGATATAGTATTACCAATTTTGACCGACATTGAACGACCAACCAGATAAGAGTTTAGCCAATCTAGCAACGAACCAGAGAAACCAAGACGTTCAAGCTTTGCGATCAAGATTTCATGGTTGATTTTATCGAAAGCAGCTGAAAAATCAGTATAAATGGCATCGACCTGCTTGTGAGCTTCTATAGTCTTGATGATAAAGGAACCAGATTGGTGCAGGTGGATCTCTTCGACATGAACCCATGTTGTGTCGCGGAAACGTAGTTGAGACAATGATGCTTGAGGAAGTCGAGGACAATCAGCTCAAATAGTTTAGACGTAGCACATAGTGCAGCGTCTATGGATCTAAGATTGAGCCCATCGCTAAAAATCTACTTTTAATCAATTTTATCTAGATGATATTCTAGATAATAGATATTTGATATTTTGGGCCGTTATTGAAAATTTAGTCTCTATTCCTGCATTTATGTATGGGCCCTATATAAGGTTTTCATGCATATAAGGTTCTCCAAATCGTTCTAGAGTTTAGATCAAATGGTCTACTAGATCAATCACGACTGGTACAATAAATTTAGCAATGAAACACATCCACAAACACACATATAAATTTGTTATGATTTTTGCTGTTTTTTAGATGTGGCAACAACTGATATTTTACCTTTTATATCAATCAAACTAAAAGCAATTTGTAATGTTCTGTTCCCCAAATAAATAGTAAATCTGGCTAGATTTGACATTCTCGTCTACTCGGGCAGTGATTACGGTAAACGATAATATCAAATAACGAACTCCTTCTCCAACCGAATCTGAAATCGATAGAAATTCTTTTCTCTAAATGCAATCAAATTTCCATTAACCCCAGATCAATTGCAATCCCCATCCCGGACATGAATGCTCAATACCTACCGTTTTGCCATCGGGTCGTTGTCGAAATGGCATCTCAATTCCAACTCCTCCCATTTCCTGTAACGGTGATTTGCAACACAACGTAAAACTGCCAACCGAAGTCAGCAAATGAAACTCAGATTGGATTTAACTTCAAAAGTCATTTATTTCCGATTCCTAATTTCGCATCTCACTGTACGACCACTGACTGTGGCACCGTCCCGTTACGTAAATACGTTGTATCGTAATCGCTCAGATCCTTCGCAACTATTTTCCCGATTATGAAATGACTTTTCACATATACCTGTATATAACACTATATCACAATATCAAACGATTACAGTTTAATGCTTTTTTCTGCCGGTATAAGGTATTGATTTTTGATTGTAAACATGTGCGACACATTTTGACTTCGGCTTCTATGTTTCTTTATGTCTTCCAGTCAAAAATGCCACCCAGCGACAGCTACTCCAAGTAAAATTAATTCAACACCCTGTCGCAACGTCGACTCTCGATGAGTCTCGCATGCTCGATAGAAGGGCTATTTACAAACTCATCAAAAAGTTTACCTGTCGTCTGGTAAAACATTCACTCTGTCGGTTCTGCTTCCCATCATCATCCGACGGGGAAACAAACTATCGTGACGAGCAGCAAGCTCTACTTCTCGCTAGCAGCAGCTGGTGACAAGCTATCATAGGTCCAGATCGGAGAACAGCTTGGAGAACTCGTGCAGGGTGCTGTAGCTGTCGTAGTCGTCGACGCGTTTGCACTTGATTGGGATGTTTTGGGGTCGGGGCAGCGACAACGGAACCGGAAGCATTTCCGGCATCACCGAGTGGTGCGTTATCAGCGCTCGTAGCGAGGAGAATTCCTTTGTGAAGCCCTGCAACGAAGAAGGAATTGAGGGAGAGAAATTTCCATTATCAAGGTGTATCATGTCTCAATGGTGCTGTAATTTTTATCTGGTGTGGGGGGAAAAATATCACGCTAATTACGGTAGGTTTGCTTGATTTAAGGCAAAATAAATTCTAACAAACTCACTTTTATTTTATACCCTCGTTCCGTTTTCAGTATCAAATAGTGAACCACCTTCGGTCCCGGTGGAGGAACGCGCAACGATAGTGCAAAGCAGCCCTGTTTCGTGGTGCTCCGCCGTACCAGAAATGCGCCGGGAGCCCGTTGGGTAAGCACCTCCAGTGAAATTTCCCGTGGAAGCCCGGCCTGAAACCAGGACGCACTGTCCAAGTCGTTGTCCTCGATGCTGTTCAGGCTGTCCGTACGCTTGATGTTCGGTACGAACCGTTTCGGACTCGAGTTGGCACTGTTAGTCTTGCGTATTAGGAGATTACGCCGAAATTCGTACTCCACGTTCGGGTGCAACGGTGGAGCCGGATGGTGGCTGCTGGTGAACGACTGTTTGCACGAGTCACCAAATTTGCTCGATACGATTTGATCCAGACTGTAAATATCCTCGCCCAGGATGTCGTTGAGCTTTTTCTGCGGCGACGTTGGCGATGATTTATGGTACATCAGCGGTAGGCTTTCCTCGGTCGACCGCAGGAAGCCCATGGCGAAGCGTTTAATCTGTTTTGAGAAAGGATGGAAAGCATAAACAGCATTTGAGTTATTCTGAAAGCAACTGTGAACATTATTTAACATTAAAACAAACAGTTAACACATTTTTTTGGCATTCCGATTCTACTCTCTTGTTAATGGGGAAGGTGGCATAATTTTATGTTTCGCACATCCAGATTAAGGCAGTTCTAGTAGGATTTGCGAGGGCTTTCAGTAGCAATTCCCTTGCAGTCGGTGCAGTATCCACAGACTGCTGATGCTGAATCCAGGGAATCAAAACCCGTGACACTACTGCGGGGTCTTAATGTTTTCTGTGTCTCTTTTTAGTAGTAGGGTTTTAAGATAGAATACCGAATAGCACCACATGCACAATTAGCATGAGCAGTGTGCATAGAAGTATGCTTGAGATATTAGACTGGACCGAAAAATAAAAATTCTAATTTGCATTTTGGATGGAGATGTTGATTCAAATACATGCAAAAATTACACCCCATAAAAATGGTTTCTTATTCTCGATTTGATGAGAACTTGTAATTCAAACAATGAATATCAACTTGGTTAAACATCTTGCGAGCTTGGAAAACCCTTAAATAAACATTAAAAGCGGAAGCCCGTGTTACGTCAAAAACAACTGAAACTTGCAGAGAGTGGTTTTCTTACCTAACGACACGAGTCTAGGTGTTGATCAGTGGAATTTGTTTTTATGATGCAATCTAGTAGATATGTTGCAAAAGTAGCATGTAGCGTGTAGACGAACAAAACACATATAGAGTAAGTGAGTCAGTTTTGACACTAGTTATCAATGATTTTTGATTTTCACATTTTATAAAATATAAACCCTCATGTTGGACCGCAACTGATACCATGTAATTGAAGTTTAGAGCATTCTGAATATTACAGTGATGTGAAATCTGTTAATTTTGCATCACAATAATCTTAATAATTGATTTTAAATCTCTAGCTCCAGTGTCAGTTTTGGCATCAGTTGTTCCTTTATTCATCGTAGAGGTGCTCCAGTTTTTTACGGTAGTGAGTATTTCAACGCTGAATTTTTCCTTAGCCATGAAATCAGGCTGATTTTGAAATAAATTTACCTCATAAGTATATAGAACATCCCCCGTAACGTGGGTAGATCACCTTTTCGTGGTACGTTACGGGATGTAAGATCTACCACCGATTCCTAGTCCTTACTACTTCAAACTAGGGGAACAGGATTTTTTAGTAATCCAAGGAACACATCTTAGTCCTTGTTACTGTTCATGCCTTGTTGATAGTGACAAGACTCGGCTTTGTCTACCGAGGATGATCTTGAAACAAGGCATAAAATGAGTTAGTTGTCTTCACCTTTGTGATTCCTAATCTTCTATCCGTTGTTCCCTAGTTCCTGACTACTTCATACTAGAGGAACAGGATTTTTCAGTAATCCAAGGAACACATCTTAGTCCTTGTTTCTTTTTATGCCTTGTTGATAGTGACAAGACTCTGCTTTGTCTACCGAGGATGATCTTGAAACAAGGCAAAAAAATGAGTTAGTTGTCTTCATCTATGTGATTCCTAATCTTCTCTTCGTTGTTCCCTAGTTTGAAGTGGTTAAGACTAGGGTTCTGATGCATGGTCATTATCGGTGTCATACCTTAATTTTGTTGCTAAGGAATTCATCTTTGACTGACAAAGGGGCGCGCCTTCGGATGGTGTTGTAACACTCCGAAGGGTATAAATAGCTGGACCTTTCAATTAGAGTCGGATCCTTGCGATAAATGCAAGAGTGGCAACTGTAAAAAAATCGAATACTTCATCATTTCTCAATAGTGATGGAGTAATACGACATGCACTAAACTAAGGACACGGGATATACTACAATAGATCAATTTACTGGTCGCAGTAGTGTTAGGTCCCGAACAAAGAAAAAAAAATATAGAACATAAGGAGAAATGGATGTAATTTAATTTGGGCCCATACATAAATTCAGCAATCGACTAAATTTTCAATAACGACTAAAAATATCCGTTAGTACCGTCCCAATGACGCGTTCATCTAGATAAAGTTGATAAATAGCAGATTTTTAGCGATGGGCCCAATCTTAGATCCATAGGCCAACATTAGAGCCCCCTAAATACAATAAATGAGTTTCAGTAAAAATCATTCCACTCCTAAAGGTTATATTGCTGTAGCTTCAACAGCCAAGGTTTTTTTTTATATGGGGTAGCACAAATTCAGAAAGTGCAGGGCACATGACATGACTTTTGAGTGAAAATCTTTAGATTGTGGAGATGGTAGCAGAAAGTTTGGACTGAATCTTACAGACGACGACCATGGTGACCTCCCTTCCGGCGATTTGAATTCAATGCTGCCAATCGAATAGTGTGTCAAGGCACGTAAAGCAGACCATGCACGACATTCAGCAGCTTGCACTTCTTAGCGACGTCCAACATAGCGGTGTAAGCCGAAGTTTCGGCGACACGACCAATGGTTTGCCTGGGATACACTTTTGAGACGTTATGACAACAAACAACTCCTCAAACGTCAACTCTTCCGAGCATTGTACGACCTTCGTTCGGTACTCAAGGAATTGGCACAGGACCTTCCAGCGTCACGTCAAGGCACTTGCAAAGTTAAGCGATCCTATCACCACTGGGACACACCACTGATGAACAAGCTTGACCCGACAACTCTGTAAGCTTTCGAGGAGAAGACAAGCAGCTAGGATACGAGGAAATGGTGGAATTCCTGTACCAGAGGATCCGCATCCTAAAGTCTGTGGCTTCCGAGATGAGTAACCGTTCTCAAATCCCGTTCGATTAAGGTGGCCGGCAATATCACTCCGAAATCAGCAGTACACACTAGAGGTGGGCAAAACAGCTCATCTGGCTGAGTGGATAAAACCCATCCAGCTCACTAAATGGAGTCGATTCTTTTGAACAGCTCTTCAGCTCACATTGAAATTATAGAAATTATGACACAAATTCAAAATCAGAAAATTAATTAGTGGTTTTAGCAACAATCAATACGAAACTAACGATTTTAAATTGGCTCACTACTTGACTAGCCTATTGGTCCCAAGCAAACGATTAACGTATCCCATTCTAGTCGAAATTCTACTACTACACAATGTTTGTTTTGATTCGCTATGAAAGTTTGACAGATAAAATGAGGGGTTAGTGGATTTTCCTATGTTTCGAGGGGTGAATCGACTAGCTTGGGACCGAAGAGAGTACAAGAGCTGAGCCAAAAAGTTGAGCACGTTACTTCGGGACCTTCTAGTCTTAGAGTTACCTCTATGGTGTTAGTGCTTAAAACTGTATAACATCGTAAGAGCTTTAAGCTGGGTTTAGACTAGGCAAGTAAAATAATCAACTCAGTTGAATTCAATTGGCTTGAAAAGTTGAGCCTGGTTGAACTTCTTTTTCAATTCAAGTGAGTTGATCAAGTCAGTTGAATGGCATGGTTTACACGTTCAATTTGCGTGAATTCAACTAACTTGATCAATTGACTTGCCCTGTCTAAACCCAGCTTTAGATAATGATGGGATGAGAGGTGAGAGCACATATGCTGGAGGAATAGCATCAGCAATAAGAGCCGGGTGCATAAATAAATTGGATAATATCAGTAGAAAATTAAGATCGTGTAGCACATGTACATATTTCTCTCTCTCCCAAACAGCCGCTTGGAAGTTTTCCGAATAAAAATTTATCATAAAAAAAAAATAGAACATATTGTTACAATACAATAAAACCTATTGAGATACTAAATTTTATTATCGAAAACAATAAAAATACAATAGAACATATTGTTATGTACAATATAATCTATAGTAAATGAGACATTTACAATAGAAAAGGGGGTTATTAGTTACCGTAACCATAACAAATCAATTTTTTCTCGAACAAATTTGATCTCATTACAATAAATTTTATTGTTTTTTCGTTGTGCAAAACTTTAATTTCATTGAATTTGTTGTAAGCCTATTGTGGTGAATATTTAATTATTTCATCAATACAATAGAATTACAATAAGATTAATTGTCAATTATAATATCGTTTGTATTTTATTGATATTTTATTGTAATGTTATGGTTATTTTTATCCGGGTTGCTTTAACCTTTGGTGCTGTCGATCAGTAGGCACATGTGTAATACGTGCGTGTTGGTGGAGTAATGAGTCCTTTTTTGAAAAGTTCCGCTATGAGTGATGGATTGAATGGTTCTTCAACTGGAACGCACTCACCAAATCACTACACCCGGGAGCGCATTCTCGATGCTTCCACGCATATTTTTCTCTACCTGGCCATCCTTAAACAATTCCTCCTCCAGCGACTCCAACCACACAACAACCAAATATCACTTTTCTTCGCTTTTGTTTTTCAAGTCACTCCGTGCACAAAAGCAATGCACATCGCAAAAACCCTAACAATAGATCATCGCCGTTCTCATCACTGCGTAAATAAACTGAAATTAAAATTTTCACTCGCGATGTCACAAATTTCTAGTCCGGGAGAAAAAATCAAACCACGCAGATAGCGCCAAATCTTCTGATGCTTGCAATTTTGCAAACATGATGAATCATGTTTTCTTTCTCGATTCTAAAACTTCTCGGAAAGCGAGAAAACCACCACTCACACACGTATAACCGTCCGGCAAATGCAGCCGAAAACTATGAAAGCTAAAGCACGCACAAAACAGAGAGCAAACTTTAGACACAACCGTATCAGAAGGGGTTCGAAACTCATCTCCCTGTCGCAGGAGTCGGACAGTCAGTGCAAATAAATCAATTATATGATTTGAGTATCAGCTATACTAAAGATCCGAGAGATGTCGCCCTTCAGTGGTAGGAAAATCATTTTTGAAGTGTGGAGAATATCAGAAAATCCACGATTTGTGACTAAACATGCTTTCACAGAAGGAAACAAATAAACGAGTGTTTACCTTATCACCATAGTAAATGTACTCGTGTATTTTTTGTGCATCTACAACTGCCCATAAAGACGGTAATGAATAAAAACTGAAAATTTTCATGCATTTCCATGCATTTCGGCGCCGCCGGGATGTTCTGAGGCATAACGTCTCTGATCACGCCTTCCTTCGGAAAGGAAGTAAAACCGTTGGTCCCCGGTTCATGAGTTGATGAGTCGATATGCCTCCCTGGCGTCGGTAGCATTGGTGCTCAGCACGGAAAACAAGATCGACGGAAAATAAATGAAGGAAAAAAAAGCAGCAGACATCACTGAACTAAATCTCACAGCAATCCAGCGCTGTGGTTCAATTCTCCAATCGATAGGATCAGGTTGTGAAATCGATTCAATATCATTTGACAACTATTGGGTGATGGTGATGGTGATGGTGAAATTATTTCCCTGGTACTATATAACAGCAGGTTCTTATACATGGGTCTTCCATAATTGACCATTTTATGGTACCAATCGGACAACTCTCAGAAGAAGCGCAAGAGGCAAGACATAAAGATTGGAAAAGGTAGGTAAATACAAGCTTCATGATGCCGTAATCTAAACGGAACTATCAATTCTATACTTTCATCTCCTCATCTATCGTATAAAAATTACCGATTCAGTCTGTTATTCGAAATAGCATCTTCAACTATGTAAATTGTTGACTTTACGCAGAAGTAATACTAAACATATCAGGCATAACATTTGATAACGGCACAAAAGCATTTGTATACAAACTTTCTTAGGCCCTTTACACGCGAACCAAAGTACATAACTCTGGATGGGAGCATACCATCAATTACTGTCATTGGTCGAAAGGTACAGTAGCAGCATCAACCCCAGCCGTGTCCCCTCGAGAACGTCAAGTCGACGATGACAGGAGCACATATCGTGGTAGGGGTAAACAATAGCTGCAATTTCCAAACCTACGACTGGATGCCTTCCTTCGAATAACAACTGAAGTGCGGTAAAAATCGGTAGAACTGTTTCAAACACATCGTTGGTACTTGAGCGGTCGGCGATCATCTCTTTTTGCCAGTGGTGGCGGGGGGGGGACACCCCTCACCATCCCTCTCCAAAAGGGGGAGTTTGGTAAAGAGAGATGATAAAACCGATTTGTACCTCCCTTAAAAGTTGTCCTACCTCGCTATCTACTTTCTATATGCAATTTTCACACTGCCGTAATCTAAACGGAACTATCAATTCTATACTTTCATCTCCTCATCTATCGTATAAAAATTACCACTTCAGTCTGTTATTCGAAATAGCATCTTCAACTAAATAATTACTGGTTATGATACGATTGTATAACGCAGGATAAGACTTTTCCTTGATACATCATAGCTATCGCCTCATCCGTGATTTTGGAAGGGGAATGACCGTCATAACTGTATTTATGCAAGAAATGAGATGACGGTCAATTTATATGTCTGTTTATTTTTCCTCGGTGATATGATGGTAACACATGGCAGATGTTAGTGATATTGCGAATGAGTGAGAAAAGCAAAACAACGATATCTCACGGTTGTTGTGTCATACTGGTGAGAAGTTTTACGGAGAGAGGGTTCTCAGTTGTTTTGATTGCTAACCGTAAGAATCTCTTTTGTCAATCTAAAGGCTGACAGTACCGTGATGCAACTCAGCACTTCGTATTAGAGGATGGCCGAAGAAAATCGAAAAATCACTATCGGAGGACGCGAAAAACCTTTTGAAAAGATCTTCTTACGACAGTGAGGACGACAACGGGAACGATAACGAAAACAAAAGCAAGAACGGCAGCGATTCATGAAATAGGCAAGTTGATAAACTTCTATCATCTGTTAAATTAAAAAAAAAAATAATTGAACCCAATTGGCGTGGCGTATTTTTCACTATAACGAAGAAAATTTTTTAACACGAAACATACCTTAGCTTACATTCGCAATTGTTTGGTATCATTTTGAAGTAAATTTCTTATAGCTTCAGATGCACTATGGGTAGTTTTGCCTCTTTTAAATTACAAGTCCCATTTTGCCCCTTTTAAGTTACAAGTTCATAAAGTATGGTCAAAAAATCTACAAAAACTTCAATAACTTTTTTCTACAGATGTTGTGCAATATTGTACATTTTGTCAATGTCTACAACTTACTCCTACATGGCCACGCCGTAAAAATATAGAACAAAAAGTTATGACGAGAAAACCATTTTTGAGGGTCCGTTGAGAAGTAAAAAATATATCAATTAAGCGTCTTTCTACTAGGTATTTTCTACAACTTTGTCGAATACGCCAACTCTATATCTTGAATAGTTGAAGAAATAATTTTTTAATCTCACTTTTTAGGGGGATTAATCTTTTAACTTAAAGCTAATCTTTTAACTGGGGCCTCATAGTCTAGTCAGTAAAGCCACGGTATTACCAAGCCGGAGGCGGCGGGTTCGATTCCCGGTCTGGCCGAGGGAATCTTTCGGGTTGGAAATTTTCTCGACTTCCCTGGGCATAGAATATTGTTGTTCTTGCCACACAATATACAAATTCATGCATTGGTATTGACATCAAAAGCTCTCAATTAACAATTGTGAAAGTGCAAAAGAAGTGCAGTAACATATTGAAACACTTCTCTGAAGCATCATATGTCTAAATTCTATAATAGAGGAGCTATTAATTAGGCGCACGAAAATTACCATTTCAACCGCTGCACAGTGGTCCAGAATGCAGATTTAGGTGGAAGGATATGGTACATCAAATTTCGCATTAAATCCATCTTCTAGATACTTTTAAAATTCTTTAAGACGCACGGTTTATAGCAAAAGCTGTTGTCTGTATATCTTCTTATTAAAAAGGTATACTCAATTATAGTAAAATATATAATTAAATTCCTCTAATTGTTTTCATATTATTAAGAGCGTATGTTATGCCCCTTCAAATTCCATAAAAAACTTTTATTTTGTTTGCCCTAACCAGAGATAAAAACATTTGAGAGGGGCATATTTTTAGTAGAAAAACGTCAATAACTCTTGATTGGCAAATGGTATCGACAAGTTCTGTGCAGCAAAAATTACGCCTTCTAAAGATCTTAATGTTATTTTAAGACACCTTTGCTGAGAAATTTGAAATAAGAAAACTAGAGCAAAACAACTGTTTTTTTTTAGAGACACCCTAACTCAATTCAAGAACATAGCCCTAAATCAGTCAATTTAAAAGATACAAAAAAGTTCATATGGACAAAGTTGCTTGAAATTACCACAAATATAACTTTGCTGAAAACTGTATATCTTAATTTATTCAAACAAAACATAAAAATGAGGACCTAACTATGAGAAACAACTTTGTAGAAGAGACTTTTAGTCTATAGTTTCAATTTCAGGCTCAAAACATATCCTTCCACCTAAATCTGCATTCTGGACCACTGTGCACTGTGCATTGTCACCAGCCATAAAGTTTTAGATTGGTTTATTTTTTAACTAACTAAAGTAATATTAGATATTAATTTCAATCCACCGTTCCCAAGGCAGTCGTAAATATATTATTGATGAATATATTCACATGCTTACAATTGATTTTCTTGATAAAATGTGAATGTTGTAAGGTAGTGACGAAATTTTTTGACCCATTGTCACCCCCACTTACGGTACTTTAAATAAGCTCTCAAATTATGCAACAAACAATGTTTTTAGTTGATTAGACGAATGTTATATCGCCAAAAGAGATGTTTATAATGTAGCAAGTTTCAAAGAACAACAACTGCCGGAAAAAGAAATCAACGGATCACGAAAATCGGCCTCAAAACGACACAAAATATCATGCCTTAAATTACAGAGTAGCATTTTTCAAAAAACATTGTAAACATCAGACAACAATACAGCAAAAGAAACAATCTACTAATATTTTTCCGTTGCCTATTCCCTACTCACCAGGGTCGGTTTCTCCACAAACTTAATGCAGTTGTTCATTTCCGTGGGAGAGTTATCCTCGTCCGAAGAGGAAGACGACGGCGAAGTGAACAGCAGCAGTGGATCTGCGGTATAATTTACATTTTCATCGCATTTGTTATACTTGCGGTGTTCCAGTAAATCGTAGCTACATTTTCGCGGATGATGCTTCTTGCCGGCTTGTTGCTGCTCTTCCCCTGGTTCATCACCACCGCCGTCAACTCGACCACAACTTCCACTCAAGGTATCGTTGAAATATTCAACTTCCTGCATCTCACTTCTGCTTCGTTTTTTATTGTATTCCACAATCCCTTACAAAATCCCCTCTGGCGCGTTTTTTTTTTATCACTAACAAACGTTTTGCACTGCAAGGGCGGGAACTGACCGGACCAGTCCCGGCAGTGCTTTTCGTTCTCTGATTCACTGGGGTCGTACGATGTTCACTTCGATTTTCCTGTCGCTTTGGTTTTTCTATTATTTCAATTCACTTTTGCCGTAGGTACCCACTTCCAAAGTTTATCCACACGACCAGGGGGGATGCCTTCCGGATATGACCTCCCTCGTTTTTGTTTTCTGTACCCTCTCACCCCGCACCCGAATCCCGTTACTCTTTTATCTTCATTAATTTATTACTCACTATCATGCAAGCAAACGAAAAACCGGCCAACTGTAGTATGGGTTGGTATGGTATGTAGGTCCAGTCCAGTCTCTTTTGTTTAAAATTTATTCGTTTCTGTTATGGCCGGCGCACAACCTGCTGCTGCTGATGATGATGATCCGCGTGGATTCCCGATGGCTGGCTGGATGGTCCGAGGGATTGAGGCCGCTTTTGTTACTCATTCGTCAGGATTAAATTTAGCACTGTTCACCGGCTTCGTCGCTCGTCGTTGGTTGGTATTCATGGCAGTCAGTCAGGATCAGCTTCAATGATGATGACCAGCAGCACGGTACAATACAGAGTACGGGAGAAATCTGCAAATGGAATAAATCACAGATAGACGGATGAGAAATGGCGGAATGGCGGGTGGTGGATGTGGTTGTAGCAGAAATAGGGTCGGTGGAATGGGTTGAGATTGTAAACTCAAAATATTTTATTTCAATTTCACCGAGAGACATGCGAGTGGCCACAAAGTGGCGCCAGTTCATTTTTTTGTTTTGAAAATTCATCATGATTTTAACAGCATATATGGATTAAGTGATCAATAAAATCAATCTTCTTTTTCTCACCCCTCAGCGTACAAGGTTTTTTAATCCAGCTAACCAAGGGAAAAATTATTACACCCAATGATGTCACCTTCAGCGTTACCCCATTTGTCTCAATCTCTATCTCAATCAGCGGAACGATTTGCTCCGTCTCGCCATATTAGGTGGATAAGGCCACCGCAGACGAAGACGCTTTCTATTGGTCTCGGTTTAATCAATTTTATTACTAACGAAAGGACCATAAAAAAGAGACCATCCAGACCACACAACGTATCGTTACGACCGACCTCCCGATTCACGTCAATGGACGAATCCAGAGTAGTATAACGAGCAGTTTAGCATTCCGTCTCGGTAGATCTATACCTACGGATAAGTATGTTGCATTCGAACTTGCTAACCACGACAACGATTACGAGTATGAGGACGATGAGGACGACAACGACAAGGCAGTCAAGGATTTGTGTCCTCTTGCCAGATTTGCACATTTAACGAAGAAAGCAAATAAAGCCAAGGGAGAAAACATGGAAGACTCCGGCAGACGACTTTCCGTCTCCCGATCCGTACCCGTACTCACCCACTCACTCACTCAATTGGAGTCATTTGCAATGATCCACCATTTGGATGTTGCGCCAGTAGTCTGTTCATCGTCATGCAAAAAAAAATAAAGGAAGAAAAGGAGCTCCCAAAGAGGAGACGGAAGAAAGTGAAAGTTTCCGGAACCGAGACGGAACGGAAAACCAACAGTCACGGATCGTCGATTTGCGACCATTCGTGAAAAGTGCTCCTGTGGTAGAAGATACATTGTTATGCGCTTTAAATGTGTTTCGGTTTTTTAAGGAATGACACCTAGGTGCAACTGTATGACACAGATAGACCTGACCAATGCCAAATGGTTATAGTATTACCTGAATTATAATAGTGTGGGTCTACCAGCTATGGCCATACGTTCCTATTATTGTATGTTCTTGTTATGGCCTTTGGAATTCCCATTAGCCATAGTTGGAACAAACCATAATAGGAACATATAGCCATGGGTACATCTACCCTAATTGTTTGAATTTGCTTGACAAAGGATTCAATGATAATATTTTTTTTCTTTGGTTTGTTTTTTTCCGTCGATCTTGTTTTCCGTGCTGAGCACCAATGCTACCGACGTGCCAGGAAGGCAGCTCCCACACCTGGACCCTACCTATTGACCCATCAACTCATGAACCGGGGACCAACGGCTTTACTTCCCATCCGAAGGAAGGCGTGATCAGAGATGTTATGCCTCAGAACATCCCGGCGGCGCCGACTGGTATTGAACCCAAGCCTGCTGGGGTGAGAGGTAATCACGCTTACCACTACACATACATTTTGATTTCGGAGTTGCCGAGAAGTTGCATAGAAATGTAATTATTTTAAAAGTTCTGTTGAGCCAATGCACTGCGAATCGATATCGTTTACAAATGAAACCATTGCAGATTCAAGATGCTTTTTTACTATTTGTATGTTAACACTCCGAATACGATGCCTCCGAAAAACGTGTAACGGCAAGTTTGCAATGGTACAACTTACCCATTTCTTAATTAATTTCAAAAATTGTGGTACCTTTAGAATTTCTAGGGTTTCTAGATGATTTTGATTGCAAAAAACTTGAAAATAGAGTCGTCTACTTTTTTAAAAAGTGAAAAGAGCTGTTACACGTTTTTTTGAAAGGTGCCCTACAAGGTTTTGCAAGTGGCGCAAGATCTGTAATTTAGATTAATGGGCACAAATGTTCACAATTAGCCAGAATACAGTCATGGTTCCTATATATGGTTCCTGGAGACAACGGAATGGTCCTCAAAAAATCCGGAACATCCGTAAAAATGGTCAATCTATGATCCTGATCCTAGAGCTCTGTGGTTTTTTTGAAAACATTAGGAACTGTGATATAAAAAATATTTGGGGTCGTAACATAAACATGTACCTGGATGGCCATGGGACCGTCCTCCGGAAGATCCGAAACATCCGTAAAAGTAGTAAATCCACGATCCTGATCCTAGAGCTCCGTGGCTTTCTTGAAAACATTAGGAACTGTGATGATAGAAAGAATTTGGGGTTGTGACATAAACATGAACCTGGATGTCCATGGGACCATCCTCCAGAAGATCCGGAACATCCGTGAAAGTGGTCAATCAATGAAAATGATCCTAGAACTCCGCAGTTTTTTTTTTTTTTTCTTTTTTTTTTTTTTTTTTTTTTTTTTTATTATAGTCATTTTGACACTCTTGGGTCATTCGTGACTTGTTCGGGGGTGAGATTTGAACTCGTGACTTTGAAGTGAGAGGTATGGATGTTAACCAGTACGCCGGGGTCGCCCCCCTCCGCAGTTTTTGAAAAAAACACTAAGAACTGAGATGATAGAATGAATTTGGGGTTGTGACATAAACATGGACCTTGATGAGTATGGGACCTTCCTCCGAAAGATCCGGAACATTCGTGAGAGTGGAAAATTCACGAAACTGATCCTAGAGCTCCGTGGTTTTCTTGAAAACGTTAGGAACTGCGATCATAGAATGAATTTGGGATCGTGACATAAACATGGACCCAGATGGCCATCGAACCGTCCTCCGGAAGATCCTAAAATTCCGTAAAAGTGGGTTATGAATGAAACAGACCCTAGAGCTCCACAGTTTTTTTTTTCGAAATCACTTGGAACTGTCATATATAAATTAATTTGCGATCGTGACTTAAACATGTACCTAGAAGGCTATATGACCGTTCTCCACAAGATCTAGAACATCTTTAAAAATGGTCAATCCTTGAAACTGATTCTAGAGTTCTACGGTTCTTTCGAAAGCACTTGGAACTGCGATATAAGAAAGAATTTGGGGTCATGACATAAACATGGACCCAAATGGCCATGGGGCCATCCTCTGGTAAGTCTAGAACATCCGTAAAAGAAGTTAATCAATGAAACTGATCCTAGAGCTCCGCAGTTTTTTTTTCCAAAAACATTAGGAACTGTGATATAAGAATGAATTTGTGATCGTGACTTAAACATCTACCTAGATAGCCATGGGACCGTCGTCCGGATCATGTTTATGTTTATGTCACGATCGCAAAATCATTCTAATATCACAGTTCCTAACGTTTTCAAGAAAACCATGGAGCTCTAGGATTAGTTTCGTGAATTTTCCACTCTCACGAATGCTCCGGATCTTCCGGATGACGGTCTCATGGACATCCAGGTTCATGTTTATGTCACAAGCCCAAATTCTTTCTATCATCACAGTTCCTAATGTTTTCAAGAAAACCACGGAGCTCTAGGATCAGTTTCGTGAATTTTCCACTTTCACGAATGTTCCGGATCTTCCGGAGGACGGTCCCATGGACATCCAGGTTCATGTTTATGTCACAAGCCCAAATTTTTTCTATCATCACAGTTCCTAGTGTTTTCAAGAAAGCCACGGAGCTCTAGGATCAGGATCGTGGATTTACTACTTTTACGGATGTTCCGGATCTTCCAGAGGACGGTCCCATGGCCATCTGGGTCCATGGCCCAAATTCATTCGTATATCACAGATCCTAATGTTAAAAAAAACACGGAGCTCTAGGATCAGTTTCATGGATTGTCCACTTTTACGGATGTTCCGGATCTTCCGGAGGACGGTCCCATGGCCATCCAGGTACATGTTTATGTCACGACCCCAAATATTTTTTTATATCACAGTTCCTAATGTTTTCAAAAAAACTACAGAGCTCTAGGATCAGGATCATAGATTGACCATTTTTACGGATGTTCCGGATTTTTTGAGGACCGTTCCGTTGTCTCCAGGATCCATATATAGGAACCATGACTGTATTCTGGCTAATTGTGAACATTTGTGCCCATTAATCTAAATTACAGATCTTGCGCCACTTGCAAAACCTTGTAGGGCACCTTTCAAAAAAACGTGTAACAGCTCTTTTCGCTTTTTAAAAAGTAGACGACTCTATTTTCAAGTTTTTTGCAATCAAAATCATCTAGAAACCCTAAAAATTCTAAAGGTATCATAATTTTTGAAATTAATTAAGAAATGGGTAAGTTGTGCCATTGCAAACTTGCCGTTACACGTTTTTCGGAGGCTTCGTAGTCGGCGTAAAGTTTTTTACACACCGTATTCGGAGTGTTAATAAGCATGCAGTGTGCTTCATATGTTGGAAGAGGAAATGATGTCCAATTTAATTTACGAAGGGCGTACAATAGATATGATTTTTGTACCGATTCTAATCTTTCTTCGTGTATGATTGAAAAAGAAGACTATACAATGCTTTTTTTTCTTTGATTTGTTTTCCGTGCTGAGCACCAATGCTACCGACGCCAGGGAAGCAGCTCCCACACCTGGACCCTAACCTATCGACCCATCAGAACTCATGAACCGGGGGACCAACGGCTTTACTTCCCTTCCGATGGAAGGCGTGATCAAAGATGTTATGCCTCAGAACATCCCGGTGGCGCTGACTGGGATTGAACCTAGACCTGCTGGGGTGAGAGGCAATCACACTTACCACTACACCACCGGTGCCGCTATACAATACTTCAATATAGTGTTTTAATTGTGTATGGTTCCTGAACGTTATAACAAAAGCATGATATTTGCCCTGTCGATAAATGTATTGCAATGATCTATGAAGCCAACGGCACCAGTGGTGTAGTGGTAAGTGTGACTACCTCTCACTCTAAAGGGCCTGGTTTCAATCCCAATCGGCGTCGTCGGGAATTTCAGACGCATAAAATCTCTGATCACACCTTCCTTTGGAAG